TAGATCTGCCTGTTCTGCTCCCCACTCTGTCTCTGGTGAAGCCTCTCACCGCCTCTGAGCCTCTGGCCTGTACCCCAGTTCTGTATGCACAAATAAAAAAAATAAAAATAAAATACTCAAGTGAAGTAGTGGCTGGGGTAATATCTGACCTACAGAGGCTCTTAATAGGTTATTTGTTTTTTAAGATTTATTTATTTATGCTTAAGAACTGGGGTACAGGCCAGAGGTGTGGTGGGTGAGAGGATTCACCAGAGACAGAGTGGGGAGCAGAACAGACAGATGTACTAAAATACACTGCTGAGGGGAGCAGCGAGCGGGTCTGGAGAGGTCTGCTGTGCCATGTGGGTTAGCATCCTCGCTAGGGATCAAACTCGTGCTGCAGTGGCTTCTGAGAGCTTCATAGTGTGGTACTTTAACCCGTTGCACCACCAGGGAGATCCCAAGAGGTTATTTTTTTATGTGAAAGCTCTCTGCAGCAATTTTGACAGAGACAGTGGATATTGTCAAAAGACTACAAGTCTAAAGGTTATTAATATTACCATAGACTTAAGGAGTCTCTAAAAAAAAACTGTTTTTGAGTATTCCCCTTATATACTGAGAAATCATTTCCCGTAACAGGTCACCTTGTTGGCTGGTCTAGCTTGGCTTCAAGAAATGCACAAACAGTACAAGCATGGACAATGACCAAGCTAAAAAAGGAAAAAAAAAGCACAAGAATCTTCAGAACGAAAGACCCCCCACAATTAAGTGCTGATCAATATGGGACAAGTAGTGAAACTGAGAATGCCAAGGAAATTAACAGCCAATTACCTAGAGAGATAAACAATTTCTTTCCCTAAATTTCGCCTCATCAGATCTGAAAGCTAAAAGTCAATCACTTCCAAATTCTGAAGAAGAAATGTTTTCATCTGGAAATTTCTACAAAGGCAAACTCTCAATATGAATATGAAATTTTACTTTTAGTACTCACTTAAAAGGTTTGCTATAGACATATTTTGCTCCATATGTATTTCAAGAGAGGGATACAACAAAACTAAAACATAATCCAAGAAAGAAAAGGTAAGAGATAAAGAAAATTAAAAAATTTAGGGGAAAATGATCCCAAGTTGCAAATGGAAAGAAAACGGCTCAGCTATTCAACATTCAATATATGTAGACAGCTAAAAGATACAGCATGGGGAGGGTGACAATATAAAAAAGGGACCTTTAGAAATTCCAGAGAAAACAACAATAAACCACAAGACAAAGTCTAGGCAAAAACAGGAAACAAATTTACATGTGATTTGATTTTAAAAAATTAAAGGTTATGATATTTCATTTAGCAAAATGTATGGGAATACAAGATTGCACATTTTTTAAGCTATCCATTCATCATTTATAGTATCTGATTTCACATTACATTTATTTAGATGGTCAAAATTTGATAAGCATCCTAATTTTTAGAATCAACCAATGCATGGAAGCTATAACCCTTGTATCATAACTGTGTGTAGATGTTTTAACATAATTTTAAAACAGTAAAAAAATTAAAGGTTTGGGTAATAAAAGTTAATAAGTTAAAGAGCTAAGAGAAAAATACATGAGATGGGGGTCCTTATTTGTTCTTATTAAGTAAATAGAAATCCATAGATTCTAGATATAGTTAACAGAGGTTTTTTTTAAAGGCTTCACAATATTATTTCAAGGTAATTTTCTCATATTGTCTTTTTATTTATGAAATGCCTTCCCTGCAGTACCTATCATAAAAAATATATTTATTCTACAATCCCTATTGTGATATCAAATTTTCCCTAATCAACTCAAAAGAATGGTAGCTCTCTCTTTCCTGCCCCTCTCCACTTTAATAGTTTGTGAGTTATTATCTCATGCATTTGACGCTGGCTTGTGTTTCTTATCTAATGTGCTTTTTTTATTGCTATCCTATATGCCCTAAGAGCAGAAAGTCTCTCTTTGGACCCACCCATAACTTTTAGTAACTAGTGGTAAAATCTACACTATATTGAGGGCAAAATAAATATCAACTCTCTCACATGGATATGTACACTTGCAGCTTAACCGAAGTTAAGAATATTTTAATAATCAAAGTACCTTTACTAAGAAATGGGCCCCATTTTGAAGAAATGCATCATTTCTTATTGGTAATTTTGTAGTGACTTGGGTTTTCTGTTCTGGAAAAATGAGGCTATTTTTCCCGGATGTGTTTAAGATGCCATCTTTTGCTCTCAGCGGGTCCAGAGCTCCAGCAGGAATATAAAGTGCAGAATAAAACATCTTCACATCTCCTTTAGTTCCTCCTAATCTTGTAAAACTCAAGGATAAATATCGTTCACCTGGGCTGCTTTCAATCTTCTGGTTTTCCAGTGAAAAAAATGTTATGAGGCCATAAACATCATCATTATCCTGAATGTAAAACAAAAGCTGCAGACAAAGGAATAAAAATTTAAAGTGCAGAATTCTCAGCAGCTGCAATTACTAAACATTCCATTTTTCTAAACAATTTTGATTTTTTTTAATTTATTTCTATATCATGTCTAAAAATGATGACTGATATGGAGTAGAGTAAAAGATTAAGCAAAAATAGATCTGAAAACTTTCCTAATATATAGCTTGTGGAATTTATTTTAGGAGTAAACTTTTTATTACAAACGGGCCAATTCTTCCCAGAGAAGCAACACAAGTGTTTGTCCTGTTCCATCATCCACATAAATTTGAAATGTGAGATCATATTCTTTGGCTTTTCTATAGCACAGAAATATCCACACAAGCAAAGCACAAGGAGAGCTCTACCTCTGCAGGCTCGCTCACTTCTGCACCTCCCTGTATTGTATGTGGCAGAATCTGCAGCAAATAAGCTTCTGCCTCTTCAGGTATATCATCACTAACAACAGTAAGAGGAATGGAGGCCAACATCTGCCCTTGTGCAAAATGAAGCACTCCGGAACTTGGTCTGATATCATCAGTCACCGGTGAGGGATCGCTGTTATTTCGTGTCAAGATCCAGTTCACTGACACATTCCCATGAGTGCCACCATTTCTAACCACCGTAATTTCTTCAAATCTAGAAAATTTTAAAGAAAAAATATACAGTTACATGATGCTCTCTACTTTCCTTCGGTGGGTTGTTCCAATGTTAACTTGACCATCAGACACTGATTAAAAAATAGAAATCTGTATCAGAGAGAATGCCTGTTTTTAAGATGAACTGGGATGTAGCTATGTCCTACAAAACTATATGAATTCATTGTCCCTCCCAAAATAAAAAAGGAAACTGAAGCTATGACAGAGGACATGACACACACTCTTAACAGTTCAACATCGTTGTCTACACCTTAAACATTAAACCTTGGAATACATTAACATAATTCTACCAATAGGAGTAAAATAAACCATACCTTGTTGTTGTATCTTCATCAATTACAACTGTCTTTTCAAACAAGATACTGTTGAATGAGAGGACTCCGTACGGTTTGTCATTTGGCTTAATGGTGACCTGGACAATGGAAGGGGCAGCTAGCACAGCATCACCCCTTAGGGTCTCCTTTAGTAACACAATGTGAAATGATTCAGCAATCTCTGGTATGGCGTCATCCACTATTTGAAATTTCAAATGAGATTCATAAATAAAAGGCGGGAAAACAATAGTTGTGTTGGGTTGAAGATCAATGAAATCTAAATTTTGCTGAGCATGTGCTGTTGAATTCCCAGTTACTACAGCATAACTGATGGCAACTTCATATTCATCAGAGCCAATCACATTTCCACTGTCATCTTTGCCACGAACCACTGGAATTAAAAGAATATCATCCTCCTCAGGCACCAAATAGGTACTCTGAATGAACCTTACAGGACTGTCATTTTTCTTGATGATAATTTCAACTGAGTTCCTAGAGGTGTTGACCTCAGCTCCTCCTTCCACACTCTTCAATTGAATGAAAAATATCTCATCATTTTCTGGTACCTGTTAAAGGAATAGAAGCAGTGGCAAAACATCAATAGTCAAAGACACTTGCAAAGAAAACAAAGTGGAAAATGCCTCTAGTTTTAATACAATCATACAGAAATAAAAAATCTTTCATTGCCAGGAGCAAATGGAGAGGCTTTTAAAATTTATGTGCTAAGATATTTTCCAAAGGCAAATAATATATTTTAGGTACGTAAGAAAAAGTTCAGATAGAGTTGTGAACAGGTACTGTAGATACAATTCTTTCCACCTTAATAAATCTCTAGACAACTCCAAAGAATTAACAATAAAAATAAACACTAATTTGTTTTGTCAGGTGGGCAGATCAGAAGAAACATTTGCAATCTAATAATAATAATAATAATAATACAAATAGTTTTTGACCACATGAATTATTCTTGCATCTCTCTAAAAAGTTTCATGTACTTAATTCAAGAATTAATTGATCATAGTATTTCCAATGCACTCTTCATGAATCCCTGCAGAACAGGCTATGAGAGTCACCCTAGGCAAAACTCTGATAGTGATAAGTTGACACCTTTTATTTCTTTGTAATTGCCAGGAAATCTTAGGGTTAATTTTCACTGCATTGTTTGAAATTCTCCTACATTCACAAATTCCATTTTATGAATGAAAAATGAAAAAAAAATCATACATCTTTTCACCTCCATGAATATTACCTTTGACAATATAATGGTAATATTTTTGGGTATTGATTAAAAATAAATAAATGTTTAAGTACTGATCCAAAAAAATAAAATGTTCTGATTTGATTAGTGATCCTTTCCCCTCCCCCCTCAACTTCCTTGAAGAATAATTGACAAATACAATTATATTTAAAGTATAAACTAGAAGCTTTGATAAATAAATACATTATAGAATGATGATTAAGATCAAGATAATTAGCACCTCGGATAGTTAACTTTGTTTATGGGGAGGAGGAGGAAGAGCACTTAACTCTCAACAACTTTTACATAAATAATCCTACATATAAAATGCTGTATTAGTAACTACAGTCATAGTACCTTAGGTACTCAGAAGATGATCTTTTAAGCTTACAATTAAAATGAATACCTAATCACTGCCCCCAATTTGTAATATTTTCAATGTTCTGGAATCTAAAAAGATTTTTATTAGTTTCCAGAAGCAGATGAACTAATAAAGTTATCAATGCTACCTAATGTTTCGCTTTTTTAGGAGAAACAATGTTTCTTTTCCAATGTTTCCTAATTCATCTTCTTCGTTTTCTTGGGATCTATTGTGATTTGATTTCATGGTTTTCAAAGCAAGGTAAAGGGAGGGTTATAAATTCCCAGCTATCCCTGTTTTTTATTAAGACTGTTATTTTATTAAAAGTTATGATTTCTTTTGTTTAGCTCATCATATTGTTTAGTTCCATTCTTTACTTGGCAGATAAGCTGTTTCATTACCTTAATGCTTAGTAACTTCAACATACAATGTGAAAACAACAGATTCTTTCCTATGAGAGTGAACATTTCAAATAGCCAAACAAAAGAATATCAGTAACAGCAGAACATTCTTTTGCCTTTATTTTAAAATATTTACAACTCCAGTCAAAAGTAGAGCCAGTAACAAAAATTATTTATCAGGATTTATAAACTGCTTACTTAGTTTATTACAGTCGTTGCCAGTTATTCAAACACATCAGCTTCTCGGTATACACTTTCATGTGAATTAAGTAAGATAAACATTAGCCTGGTATATTCCAAAATAGCAATATATAAAGTATGATTTGCCATATACTCTAACTTCATATAGGTCAGGGTTCTTAAATTGTTTCAAATGTTGAACACAATTTAATACTTGATATAATGTTCTCTAGTATGTCTGTAACACAGTGTGCTTGGCCTATGAAAGCATTTAACTTTATCTCACCTCATCATCAAGCACTGTCAAGTTATAAACTACTGTTGCTCTACCAGGGGAAAAGGTAATATTTCCTTTAACTGGACTCAGATCTTCTTCAGGTGGATTGGGACCATCTTCTACCTGCAAAGACACACACGGTGCCATCAATGAATATAAAATATTTCACAAGACTGACAAAACATATTGTGGTGTCAATTGATGAAAATTTGAAGTTTACTAAAATGCTTTGCAAGAAGAATTATACTAACCTGTATGTAAGTCTACTCTTCCAGTGGAAATTTAAGGCCTATAATGTTATTATATAAATACATTAAGTTATTTTTTTAAAGTTTTCTTTTTTGACCAGAGGGGAAATAATACATAAATATCTTTCCTTGAGCTGGAGGTATTCAAGATTAGTAAATTCCTTTAAGTAATGGCCTCAAACACCACCTCCACCACTGTGTAACCAGGGCAAGCTATTTAACAACTCTATGGAGCATTTTCCTCATCTTTAAATTAAAAATAATATCCATTTCACAGATTAGATGTGAAGATTTAATTAAAAATCATTTATTTGAAAAGCCTGAGCTCTTTTAGGTATAAGGATATAAGGCAATGAACAAGGCAAATTCCTCACACATATGGACCTTGCATTTAATGGGAGGAAACAAATGCTAAATTAACAAATATGTCAGATGATAAGTACTAGGGAGAAAAAATTCAGGTCATGAGGGAGACTGCAGGAGGACTTGCTGTTTTCGGGAGTAATCATCAGTGGAAGGCACATAGAACAATATATGAAAATATTAATTACTCTCTGTATTAGCTGTGATTACTCACACAAAATACGCATGATTAAATAAAATATTTCAGGCATCCATAGAATTTTTTTTTTCTTTTTGAAACTTTATTTCAACATAACTATGTTTCTAGAAATCACTCATTGGTTAATAGAAGGCAACTTATGTCTACCTACCCTATACTATTTGGACCAAAAGCTTGGTATATGGTTTTAGTTTTTTTATAAAGCAAAGATTTGCAACCTGGTTTAGTTCTCATTGATTACAATTGAATATAAAAGATCCTCCATCAAATGCTGATAAAACACAGAGAAATTGAAAACACTATAATCTGACAATGCTTTATCCTTTCTGTAAACAATTTTTTCTATATTTGTTATCATTAACATTTTAAAAGTATATGCCTGTTTCTAAGTACATGAAATACTGTTTAAGGTTTCCCAAGTAGAACTTGCAAGACTACTGCACATTCTTTTTTTAAGATTTATTTAAATCTTAAAAATACAGAACTGGGGTATAGGCCAGAGGTATAGAGGCAGTGAGAGAATTCACCAGAAACAGTGGGGAACAGAACAGGCCTACTGATGAAGTACACTGCTGAGGGGAGCAGTGGGCGGGTCAGGAGATGTCTGCCACGCCATGTGGGTCACCGTCAGGGTGGGCGGGGATCGAACACATGCTTAAGTGGCTTTAGTTTCATAGTGCTGTGCTTTAATCCACTGCGCCACCAGAGAGAGTCCAACTATTGCACATTTAATTAGTATTTATCATGTTTTTCATTCACTGTTGCCTTATGCTATTCTATTTTCGTATGTAAATAAAAGTCACCATGAGCACAAATAAAACATATCAGAAGGTTCTAACACTCTGCTAGTTAAAAATAATATAAAAATAACATAATATAAAGTATAAATAATATAATAATATAAAAATAATATTAAAAATAATATATGATCATATGGCTTATAAATCACAGAATTAGTCGTGCACTAGTGATAACCACCCATTAAGTGTAATTTTTAAAAGTGTGGAATGTTGGCCCTCCCTGGTGGCGCAGTGGGTTAAAGCACTGTACTAAGAAGCTGAAACCACTTCCGCATGAGTTCGATTCCCACCTGCCCCGGAGGTGACCACATGGTGTGGCAGACCTCTCCTGACCCGCCCGCTGCTCCCCTCAGCAGTGTACTTCGTTGATCTGCCTGTTCTGCTCCCCACTCTGTATCTGGTGAAGTCTTTCGCCACCCCTGAGCCTCTGGCCTGTACCCCAGTTCTGTATGCACAAATAAATAAATCTTTTAAAAAAAAAAAAAGTGTGGAATGTAAATGGGTTAGACTGCATATTAAATAATTGCATAAGTCTAAGTAATTTATGAGCATTTTTCTTTTAAAAATATTTTGTTTTTATATATTTATGCATATAAGAACTGGGGTGTAGGCTAGAGCTGCTGGGAGTGCGAGGATTCACCAGGCAGTGGAGAGCAAAACAGACAGAGTTACTAAAATACACTGCTGAAGGGAGCAGCAGGCAAGACAGGAGAGGTCTGCTGCACCCTGGTGGTCAGCTCCTTAGCTGGGGATCGAACTCATGCCAGAATGGCTGGCGATAGCTTAATAGTGCTGGAACTTTTAACCCCTGCACCAACAGGGAGGCCCTCACAGGCACTTTTCTTTATAATTTATATCTTTGAAAATTTTTACCATAAATTTTATAGAGTTAACATTATCATCCTTCTATTTTGTGGTTTATTATTTCCCCAGATATAAAATGATATAAAATGATAATTCCCCACATATACTATTTCAGCATAGTGTAGCCAAACAGGAAGGAAAGGATGCTCATATTAATCAAGAAGTTTATCTAAAAAAAGCATTTTTATTTCATTTTTATTAAGAGTCATCTTTATTATACAAAGGACATTTATTTTTACAATTGTTACCATTGGTATAAACTCGAAAGTGTTGCCACTTAGAATGCCTTCAGAAATAAGCTTACCTCAAAAGTCACAGTGACCATGCCATAGGTTCCTTTTTCCCTGATGAGGGTAAGAGGCACAGACTCATTCCTGCCTCTGGGCTCAATCACTGTGACAGAGAAAGGCTATTGGGGAGAGAAACGACAGTCACCAATCAATGTAACCTCTTACCTTAGAAATACTAACATGTCTACAGGCAAATCCACTCATGTTGTACTCATAAAAATGTAGCTTTTTCTAGCATTAATTAACCACATTAATTAATTAATAAAAATGCTTAAAAATAGTGTAAAAGGCACATAAATCTACTCAATCAAAAGATGCTGGTTCCTTTCCTGATTCTACCCAGAACTGCTCAGCTAAGAGACCTTGAATGGTATCTCTTTGAAAGATGACAAACTCCAGTGATCACAGATGCCTAAAAGTTCACAAAAATGTCTTTTCTCTCCAGAACAGGTCACTCAAAAAAAGTGGGAATTTGCACCCACCTACTATTCTCTCCTTACAGGTCAGCTCACCGTTGACAAACAGATGACTGCAAAGGAGGATTTCAGGACATGAAAGGAGGAAACAGCTAGGATTTCAAATGTTGAGCCATGATGAGCTGGCTGGTTGATACTTGGGGTAGAAGAGAAGAGCAAAGTGCCCAGGTGCACATTAGCTAGGACAGCAGAGCCCATCTCACTGGATGACCCTAAATCCCATATCCTCATCATAAAGGGGGACAGGAATGCCTGTCTGAAAGGGTTAGAATGACAGTACCCTAATGCCCGGCACATAGTGAGAGCTCAATAGTGTTAACTATTATTATCACCAATGTTCCCTTCATCATCAATATAGTCATCCAGGCAAAGACACAAAGTCAACCTATTTAGAAACTGAGTTTAATGGCTACTTAGTTTAATTTTCAGTACAAGGATGCATACCCTACCAAGGAGCAGAGAACATACTAGTCTAGGATGTGGAATTAATACTAGAAATAGGTTCACTTCCACAGGGTAACATGTATATTGTGTAAAAGAAAGGGGGTAGGGGAGGGGAATCAAATGAGATTAGCATGACAAAGTGGAATGGGTATAGAAGAAAGGCAGTATGAAGAGAAACAAGTAATTAAGGGGCCCTGCTTCATAATTAATAATTTGCTGTCATTCAAACAGAAATGACAGATTAAATAATTATGATAAATGACCATATAGTGTTGATGAAAAAGTATCTACCTTATCAACATTGCCCACAAAATCCTTTCAATAGATACTGCAATTATAAAAATTTAAAGCACTAAGAACATGATATACAATACAACCAAATAGTAATGAACTAAATGAAAAATAAATGACAAGCTGGGAGTAAGTAGTTCATCATATTTTAGTAACAATCATTAGTAACATTATTCACAAAGACTTTCTAAAGGAAGTTTTAATCCAAAGATTAAAACACCAGACGTAAAATTAATGAGAACATAGGAATTTGGTGGTTAAGCAGAAAAAAATCAATTGCTAAGGAATAGTGAGGGGGGGAATGACAGACCTTTAACCTTCAAGAAATATTAAGGAATAGAATAAGAAAAAGATTAGAATTTTGAAAAGCTATCATTTCTGCTATTCAATTTTAAATTCACAATAGGTTTTGTCAGTATTTTTTCAATATGCTTTTCTCATTTTCAAATCACTCTAAACTTTCAGAGGAGGCTGACAGATAATGCTTTCTGCAAGTGGTATTTGGGAAACTGGGTTACAATCTGCCTCCCCCCCATAAATTTGTATATCTAAATCCCACACCCTAATGTGACAATATTTGGATTTTGGGCTTTTGGGGTGTGATTAAGTCATAAGGGCAGAGTCCTCATGAATAAATTAGTGCCCTTTTAAAAGAGAGCCCAGAAACTTCCTAGCCCCACTGAATATATGTAGATAAACACACACACACACACACACACACACACACACAAAGACCATCTATGAATCAGGAAGTGAGCCTTCCAAGACAATAAATCTGCCAGTCCTCTGATCTTCATCATTTCAGCCTCCAGAACGATGAGAAATAAATTTCTGTTGTTTATAAACTACTCAGTCTGCAGTAGTCTGTTATAGCAGCCTGAAGATAACATTTGAGCTCAACATCAGTCAAAGGAGATACCAGATAAGTCAGGTGGAATCGTCAACAGAAAGATATAAGGAAAAGAGATGACCATGCTCACATAGGATTCTTGCTTCAGAGAAATCTTAGGTAGAGCAAATGGACAGTATACAAAATGTGAAATATTAACAAAGTAAGGCAAAATTTATTTAAATAACAAAAGAGAATGATACAGGTAATATGAAAAAAATATTAAAATGTTATAAACTTTCATGTAGCAACCACAAGATTAACCAATTATTCATACCCATACCATATTAAATGAAATAACTCCAAATGCATTGTCATTTGATAATATTGTCACAGTAACAGTTGTTGGCCAACCAAGTTTCACTTTTGCTGAAGGTTTCTAAAAATAGAAGCCAAAAATTAAATTAATCGATTAAAAATAAGAGGGAAAACAATCATTTTACTAGAACTTCTATCTTTAAGTAATTACTCAGAAAATAAAGATACAAGTAAACTTTTTAAGACACAGATTAAGAAAATACAATCAAACTAAGTCAATAATGACCAGTAAGTCCCAAACAAGAATTTCTCAAAAAGGTTTTGAAAACTATTCATCATTTCTATTAATATAAATTATTATAATTATAAGTAATCACTGGGTAGAAATATAATTAATGTCATTACTAATGTAACAGAAAATAAGTATGAAGTATGAATTTTTATTCAAATATTATTTTTTCTTACACTATAGAAGGTACTGAAACTTAAAATGATTCCATAAACAACAGAGCCAAATTAAAGATAAAAGATTAAATATTATAGAAATGGGAGTACTTTCTGCTACATTTCTATTGATATACAACAGCACCGTAAAAAATATGAAAAGTTACTTACAAAAGCAAAGCTGTTTCAAGCATCATTTTCACAAAACTTTTAATCATTCTACTATAATCATTCAAAAAAATTCTCAAATGCCATTCTGAAAAGTGAACTAGAGCAACATTAGCAGCCATTGCCTCAACCTAATCAAGGGAACTACAAGGGACAGTTAAACACTAAGCTATTCAAACATTTTTCCCAGGGGTATTTGGGAATTTATTCTAAGACACAGGCACCTCCCAATTTCATGCCTGGTTTTTGTATCCTTCTCCTTTGAACTCAGAAGTCATGATCATTGTTTGTGCATCTGGTTTAGCAGCAGAGGGATAAAAGAGTAAAGGGCCAAAGGGAAGACAAGGTTTTCTCGAGCATTTGTCAAGGTGATGCCTAAATTAGTTGAATGGATCTAAAAACAAGAATCTTCTAACCAGGCTTGGCTGAGGAAAAACCAGATCATTGAAATGCTGTCAATTTTGGCTTTTAAGAAATCACCGATCACCTAAATTATCTTCTCACCAAAGAAATAAGATTGGTAAGTATTGCATGACGTGTATAAATTGAAATTACGGAGGAAGAAGGACTTACCTGTAATGTTAAGTGAAAAATAAATGTTTCATCAGGCTCTGGTATGTCATCATCACATACTGCTATGTAGACTGTTCTGTTTGTTTCACCAGCAGGTATAAAAGCGGCAGCGTATGTGTCAAAAAAGTCACCAGTATCTTCTCCATAAAGCTATCAAATGCAAAATATAGGTAGTTCTTATAAAACAGTGCTGATACAAGTGAAATTGATGCTAAGTGGAACAACTAACAGAAAAAGACATCAATAATTAAGTGACACCGTTTATAAGTAGGATTCAAAAACAAAGCAAATAGTATCACTATAAAGCTAATAATATCACCTTCAAAAGCATTATAGAAGAAATAATTGTACACAAAAACATTATTTCTGACCTCACAGTAAAGGAATCACTACATATACAAGCAATAGTTAGATAGGAAAGTAATGATGTGAATTGTTTTCTCTGCCTCTTGGTTGATCTGAGGCAGGATTCAGTGAACCTAACAAGACACAATTATAGCTAAATTCTCCCAAAGAAGAGGTAAGAATAGCTTGCATACATATCAGGAAATCAATTATTTTCCCTATTAGTTTCAAAAAACTGCTCACTTCAAAATGTTTATAGTGAAATTTTATTTGCATTCTCCACTTCACTAGACACTCAATTATTTTAGCGTTGCAAATGTATTAGTCACTATGATCTTCTCTCTAACTTTTTAAGATCTCTTTCTGTAACATTAGCATTGGTAAAATTTTCAAGGGAGAAATAATTATGAAAGCTATTACTTATGCAAATTTAAAATAAATTTCTTTTGACAAAGAACTTAAAATGAATAATTTACCTACTAGGAAAAAAAGACAGCTATGACAATACAAATAAAAAATGAAGGCTATGTACAGGTAAATTTTAGTCAGTTACCGATATTCATTTATAAACATAAGTCAAGTTTTAAATACTTGAGAAATCCAAGCAAATTATTAGGGTTTTGGAAAACTTGTATTCGTAACTTAATATCAAAAATAAACAGTCTTTTAGGAAGCATAAATATCAAGAGCAATGCAAACAAATAAGAGAAAATTAGTTGTCCAACCTAAAAAAACAATTCAAAAATCCAAGATATGAAAAAATGAACATCAGATTCAATTTCATCAGAGCAACATAATAGCAAAAGAAACAAACTCCAATGACAAACAGCTCAGTAGTGATTAGGGTAATGTTACCACCATCAAGACAAGTAGTGAAAATCATAGAACTGGAAAAAGTCTTTATAATACAATCAAATTATATGAAAAGAATTATCAGATACATTTATTCACACAAAAATGAAGTCAATAAATATAGGAATGTCAGAAGTTGTAAATAAAAAATGCACAAAATTATAATACTGGGTTTGTTTCATATGTATTTATTCTCCCTGTTTCTACAATGTTTCACAATGTGATAATCTAACATGTTATTTAAATAGTTTTCTTTGAAATAATAAAATTCAAGTTCCTTGGGTTTCAAATATAGCAATATCATAGTAGATATCTGACATTATTCTTTTGGTTAAACAGATCAATTACATTCACATACAATACTTCCAAAGGAGATCAATCAACAACTCTAACTTCTAGTTAATACATTTAGTTTCTCCCCCCTCAAAAGATCTCTCCAACATAATTCAGTTTTTTATTGTCTTTTTTCTACTTTTAATAGTTCATAGCATTTCCATTAAGTCATCTGACAATAAAGATCTGAGCAGAGAGAAAAATTGAATCCAAATTGCTCTAAACAGAATGTTCTTTTACTTGGAGATACTCAGGACTTTTTTGAGTTTTATTTGTTTTGTTTCAATCAAGTTACATGAGCATTTAAAACTGTTAAGTCTATAACTAAAATATTGTTATCTAATGCACATTATAGAATATAATAATTAGTATGAATGGAATAGTGTATCTGTAAGTCCTTTACCTAATGAAAGTACTTAAAATTTCAAACAGTAAAAATCATACCATTGAAATTAAGAAACTTCATATCTATTTAAACAAGAATAAAACTACAGTCATTCCTTACCGATACAATCGCAGTGACATTTGCTGGCTGTCCTACCCTCTCGATGACAAGTCGAATAACTGTTGTACTTGTTTCATTAACTACAAATTCTGTTTGTCCAGAGAACCTTATTTCTGTCTCTCCAAATACAAAAGGGATGAGTAAAGCTGAAAGAAGATTTGCTAATAAAGATGCAGAGGGCATCCCTGTTTAAAAAAAAAAAAAAAAGTTTTGTTCACAAAACAGATCTAATATATTTTTATTAAATTATCTTGTACAAATGTAAGAGTGAGGAGTTAGAACATATGGAACCAAGACATAGATATATCAAATGGTAAGTCATCCATTAAAATGTGGGATCATATAAATAAGTTTAAAATCACAGTGTCGTCTTATGGTTCTCTTTTACTATTCATAAGAACTTTTTGTTCTTTTCTTTCCATGATAGTTATAACTAGCCTTAAGTTTATTACATTTAGCTTAATTTAAAATACTGAATACTTTATTTTAAGAAAAACCTAAACAACAACATGGAAACTGACATAAAGTGCATCTTATTAATGAAAATGAAAAAAAACACCAGCCCACACTAAAAAAATAATTTGCATGGATCAATAATCTTAAAGGGATTTAATTCATCGATTTATTGAAAAGCATACCAATATAGAAGTTTAATAAATTGATTTCTTGGTTGGGTCTAGTTTTCCCTTAAATGTACCTTATTTGAGAACGTTTTATAAAAATTTTTAGTTATGGCAAGGAAATACTAATCCCCCTTTCAAAGAAGACAAAAATTTCCAGCACTTAAATTTCTTTCATGTTACTAGTTAAAATACTGATAGCACTTCTTAGAAATGGAACATGTTGCTTTAAAATGAGAAAATTTGGGAAAGTATTTCCTTTCCCATAAGTTTTATTGTTTTCTTCTTACTACAATGTGTGTGTTCATGAGTCATCAACATTGTTTCTACTTTCAGCCCTGTAATTCAGTGTTTTCAAAAGCACAACAGCACAGTGATCTCTTGAAAGTGCTGCTGTTTTGTGATGTAGATGTATCTCTAAAAATGCGAACAATTTATCTCATGGATCATTAAGATTCCAATGGATCTATGTGATCAGTCACATGGATATAACAAGTTCATGGTTTTAAAGGAGAAATGCATTATGTACACTCTATGAGCCAAAATGCTTCCTATTAATCTTTACTTTGGTCAAATAATAAAATTTTCACGTGTGTAGTATCTCCACATAGTTATATACATGGCTTAATTTTAGGAATCACCAAATCACCTTCTTCATATATTTTAGTATTTATATGCAATTTTCTCAGTCAACTATATTCAAACTGTGTAGTGTGAGACTGTTACACATACTTATGGCTGCAAAATCTTTAGACAGAGATGCAAAGTTCAGCTAGAGTCCAGAAAGTACAAGCAGCAAAGGGGCAGGGCTTCAGGGGGACTAAGACACATTTGCCTTTTCTGTAAGAAAGCCTGTCGAGAAACCTGGGGGGTAGGGGGGAATCAAATTGTTCTCCTTCACCCACTGCCAACCCATCTGACTTCTAACATTAACCAGCACCATATTACCATATTACAAAAAAAAAAAAAAAAGTGGAGGGAAGGAAAGGGGAAGAAAAAGGTAAAACCTTGGGGAGGCAGGCAATTGGGAGAGTTTAGGCAATACTAAAGACACCAGAAAATATTCTGTGGAACTCTAAAGTCAGACCTCACTTAAGACAAATAGAAAGAAACTAGAGAAGGTGAAATGAATACAGAATGGAAGAGTGAGGGGATAGCAAACTGGGCATTGGACAGTAAAGAAAGGTTGACTTTGACCTATCAAGATTCTGAAAGAAAAATCTCAGTTCCTTGAATGTGAGATGTGGTTAAACCTTGAACAAAAAGTAAGAAGACACCTGAATTTCTCAGTGAGAAAGAGTCAAAGCAAGTTGCAGCATGGGAGGGGAAATCACCAACTAGTGAAACAAAGTTTCTCAAAAACTGTCCTGCAAATAAAATACTGATTTCCACACCCAAAAATTTTGAACCAGGGTATTTAGGGTGGAACCCAGGAATCTGCATTTTGATTCTAATGCAACTGATTGTTTGGAAACACGTTGAGATATACTGTGTTAGACCACATGTGTGGCTTTTAGATAATTACTGAATTTTTCAATACACTATGATTGACCTTATTACTGACTTCTTCAAATATTTTTTACATATTGTGTTGCATTAAGATTCCATCTATACTGGCCCTCCCTGGTGGCACAGCGGGTTAAAGCACTGCACTGAGAAGCTTAAGCCACCTCCGCATGAATTCGATTTCAGCCTGCACAGGAGGAGTCCACATGGCGAGGTAGACCTCTCCTGACCCACCCGCTGAACCCCTCAACAGTGTACATCGTCAATCTGCCTGTTCTGCTCCCCACTCTGTCTCCGGTGAATCCTCTCACCCTCCACATCTCTGGCCTGTACCCCAGTTCTATATGAATAAATAAGTAAATCTTAAAAAAAAAAAAATTCCATCTATACTGAAGAAAAACTGTAATGATCTATAGAAAGTAATCATAACAACAAATGCTTACACAAGGTTGTTCAAGGTGCACTAGGCACAGTAACACATTTTCACAATAACAACATTACTATGAAGAAGCTGCTAACGTTAACCCTATTTTATAGCCAAGGAACTAAAGCACAAACAGCCAAGGTAACATGCAGAGTTATTTAGCTAAGTGGAGAGGCAGGATTTGAATCTAGGAGCCCGCCTCTAGACTCTACCCAATACTACATTGCATTGCCTGTTATATTTTACTCCTTCAAATCATACATTTCTATCTTAAACACACCATAGATCATTTATGCTGTTTCTAAACTCATGGATATTTTAAATTCATTCACAATAACCAAAACTACCAACTATATTATTATTACTAGTCTCCTAAAAGTTTGCACCTTTTTATTCTGATAAACATTATACTTATTTTACTGAAACTGCCATTTTCTTGCCTACTTTAGGTATTTAACAGCATCTTTTAATGTCAGGGCCAATGAACTAAATAAAGCTGCATTCCAGCAGTTTCCCAGGCAATTAGAGCTCCAAGGTATTGTAGTTAAGTCAGTAAATTCATTTTAAATCGGTACACATCAATGAGTTTTTGAGGTAATGAAAAATGAACAAACAAGCATGATTGGAAATGCCTCAAATTCTGTGACATCACTGATAATTGAATCTCCTCTGCTTTCATCTTTGCCACTTGTAAGAAAAGTTGTTGAAGCAAACTTGGCATTCAATAGAAATTAAAAGATGGAGAAAAAGCTTTGAAAGTGAAGTTCCCAGCAAAAAACAGGCATTAATTACACTAATGCTGAATAGTTTCTTTTTTTAGAATATCTAAGTACATTTTTCTCTACCATATTAAAAACCTAATTTTTCTAAGTCCATTTGTTAAACTCAGAAAACAAGAAATTAATAATTGATACGACACAAAGCCTTTTATGAATATCAGCTCACTTTTTCTATTCTGAGACTCAATGTGAGTTTTATATGACCAACCTATTTTAAACTTCTCTGTAAAATTAATTTTAAACATCATGTTTGAAATCATACTATACTTAATTCATATTGCCACAATTGTGAAAGAATCATTTTAGCACTGTTTACGTCATCCCTCTGCATAAGCACGACATACCAATATTCAAATATCACTTCATAAATGTACTACTCACACCTCCCCCTCTTGCTCAGTGGGATTTAAAGTAAAATTACTCTTGCCAAAACCTCTCTTATATTTCAAAAGATCACTAGTTGTGCAAAAAAAATATGTAATTTAGGTTATTTCTGACTTCCTTTTTTCCCTGAATTAAACTATGACGTTTTGAAGTCCTGGTAGCACACAGGCACTAGAATTCTAGTAATCATATTCAGCCTATTCAACAAGCATGTAATTTCATAAAAATTCCAAAAATAAAATCATGACTATATTAAGGTATGTCCTACAATGCCATTTGTTAGCTTACAATACTATGGTGTAACATTTGTAAACTGAATACCCAATGTACATTGTAGAACACCCTGTGCCAATCATTGAGGACACAAAGATCCATAACACATGATCCCTGACTCCAAGATACTCACAGGAATGGGCCTATGATTCAGATGAAAATGATCAAAATCACAAGATGCAAGTTGAGACTTCTGATTTAGAACAGAAATACAGCTTACTTATACCACTGGATTCAGGACAATGATGATTTGGGCCAGTTCCCCTAAGCCTGGAAATGAAGCCAACAGAGACAGAGACAGAGCCTAGAAGTGGAGAGGAGCCAAGTCTTAATAATCAAGCCTGGATCCAGCTTTACCCTTGACTTTTCCTTTACTGGGGTGATAAATTACATTTTGGTCTGACCAGCTTGGGTTGGATTTTCTGTCCCTTTGAAAACCAGTATTTACTCACTAATCTCCAATCTCTGGCACTGTGAGTTCATGTTAGGATATACCAGTAGAGCACCTCTCAGTTCCCTGACACAAATGCTCAAGTTTTAATCTTTTTTAAACAATTATGAAAGGGCACTACACTAGCTATCTCTCCTGTTTTCAAGCAATTATTATCACCCTCTTGCGAAATTTTCTGTTCCACCTGGAAATTTACTATGGCCCCTAAGTCACACTGAGACAAACCAAAAATATCTTCACAACAGAACAAAGCAGCACCAGAGAACACAGCATTGACTGTATTCTGAGAAGTTTATTGACACAAGCTATGCAACTTCTGTCACCCGACAAGATAGATCTGAATGGAAGGGGAAAGCTCTGAAAAATCAGAATTTCCATGCTAACTTATGTTACAACCTCCCTTTTTTGTATAATCATAATATCAAAATATTCTGAGCAACCATCAGTTTACAACTGGATTGTCTTAGCCTCATAAGGCACTGCCTGGCCCAGGCAAGCAAAAAGTAATTTTACAACTGGCTGATTAATAAAAGCTATTGGCTGTTGTAGCAAAATCAATATTGTAAAACAAGGCAGTACTAGAACATGTTAAAAAATAACCAAAGACCTTTTTT